GAGTTTGTTTGTTTGTTTTTAAACTAATCTACTCTGTGATAATGAAGATATTGGGAGCCTAGACATGGTAAACAAACACATAGGCTGTACAGAAAAATGTAGTTAGGAATTACAGAACTACTCAGGCAGCAATTGTTAAATTAGACAAAAGAAAGTACTTCAAAACAGTTTTCATATCATTCTCTATAATTACCAAAACTAAGATAGAAAACTAAGAGTTGACTTATTTACTGTATATGATTCTGATTATGTGTATTTGTAAAAATATGGTAGTTGAATATACACTGTAGTTATTAATGTTTTTTCTATTAGTTATACATCTATTATCATCTATTAATAACTCCACTATTGATTCTTTGAATATCAGGATACCTGTCCTGTTGTCGCTTTCTTGATGACAACCAGATTGTTACAAGCTCTGGAGATACCACTTGGTGAGTAGAAGGATTGCATGTTGAGTTTTTGTTCTGTGTTTTTATCAAGTCAACATTTTTATGCTAAAGCTAGGACATTGGGGAAACTGGGATCTTCATCGTGTACTTTGTTTTTATAGTGCACTTTGGGACATTGAGACTGGCCAGCAGACAACCACATTTGCTGGACATACAGGTGATGTCATGAGCCTGTCATTGGCCCCTGACACCCGGTTATTCGTCTCTGGTGCTTGTGATGCCTCTGCTAAACTCTGGGATGTTCGAGAGGGCATGTGCAGACAGACATTCACCGGCCATGAGTCTGACATCAATGCCATCTGTGTAAGTTGTGCAAAAAGTTCCTGTGCTTGCCCTTTGAGATTATACTTCAGTGCTATTTATATGGATTTTTTTTTTTCCTGCATTAATAAGTTCTGTGTTTTTTTTTTTTTAGTTCTTCCCTAATGGCAATGCCTTTGCCACGGGCTCCGATGATGCCACCTGCAGGCTGTTTGATCTGCGTGCTGATCAGGAATTAATGATCTACTCTCACGACAATATCATATGCGGCATCACCTCTGTTGCATTCTCAAAGAGTGGCCGTCTTCTTCTGGCGGGATATGATGACTTCAACTGTAACGTGTGGGACACACTAAAAGCTGACCGTGCTGGTAAGTAGTTGAAACAATATCCTTTCCTACATGATAGAAATGTATGCTTGGTTCAATAATTAGACATGCACAGTGATGAAATGTACTTGTTTGCTTTCTGTCTTGTTTTTAATCCCGTCGACTAAATCACAACTGTTGTGCTTTCTAGGTGTGTTGGCTGGACATGACAACCGTGTTAGCTGCCTGGGAGTTACTGATGATGGCATGGCAGTTGCAACGGGATCCTGGGACAGTTTTCTGAAGATCTGGAATTGAAGCCTGAAGGTTCTTTTTTTTTTTTTTTTTTTTTTTTTTTTAATTGTTTCAAATTTTCTTACATTTGTACCCAAAGTTATTCCTTGTAAAGTCCTAGTCCTAAACCTGTAGTTGCTTATGTTTGTTGAAGCCTCATCTTTTGCTTGGCTGGAGTGGAGGTTGATGTGTGGGTTCAATGAGTTGTCTTTTGCTGGGCTGCATGTTTGAGACACCTGTTAACTTGAATGGATGTTGGCATTCCCTTTTTGACTTTCGCAATCAACAAAACATTCTTGCCCAGTTTTCAGTAAGCTCTATATAAACGTCAAAAAACTGGAACTGTTTCTTCTTTTTTTTTTTTCCATACAAGACATGCTGTTGGGAGAAACAAACCCAATGGTGGAGGTGCATCTCTTCCACTGACCAATTAGTGCTCCTCGAATAAACATTTCAACCACTTACAGTAACATCAAACTTAACACACATAACAGTACTTCAAAAACTTGTTGACAGTTTTCCATTAAACTGAATTCTTGGGGGAACTAATTGATTTCTTCCATTTGGGAGGCTCCTCCATGAGGCCAAAAAAACTGGTTGTGTGTATATATAAAGATATATATTGAACACGCATTCTTATGTCAGTCTGTGTGATTGCTTTTCATTAGATCTTTACCCAGTCGGTCTAAAAAATTACTCTTGACGGAAGGTTGAATTGGCTAAATTGTAGATCAGGTTAGATTAGTTAAATTCTAAATTTCATTTGTCTTTGTTTCCCAGATGTTCTTTTAACTCCAAAGTTGACTGGAAGACCATTACAACTTCAGAATGTTCACAGCATCTTCTTCTACACTGTTTAAACTGACTTGGACACCACGAAAACGAAGGGAAACCAATGCCTTTCCTACATAAAGAAGAGCACAATTGTTTATCACCTAGTTAAGAAAGGATCTCCTGTGGTATCAAATCAGAAACTTGTGCATTCCTTCTTGGACCATTTTATGTTACCTTGAAAGAGAAAAACAACACTATCATCCCATGCAAATGTGTGCGTCTTGAAAGCAAATGTTGGAGTGTAATTGTACAAATTATTTAACTTTTTTTTTTTTTTTTTTTTTTTTTTAAGAATTCTATTCTGATGGTTTGTTATTCTTGATGGCTTTCCTTTTTTTTGTCATATTTCTTTAGTGGTTTTAGATATGTTTGAATTACAGCTTGTCTTTCTAATCCAGTTAAAATCATATAAGACAGATGAGAGAAAACATGCAGCAAGTAATGCAAGTAAAAGCTTGGATCATATTACACAAGCAGCTTTCAAAATGTCCATGATGTATTTATATACTAGCTGTTTTTGTTTCATCACAGCCTTTTGCACATGAAGAAGCTTTGCCTCTCAACTAATACTATGTTAACTAACCAAGCACATGCTATAAGTTATGAATGCTCATTCCAGTACAAAAGGAGTTATTACGAGTAACTTACACAGTTAACCCCCTTAATTCTTGTACATGCCTTTGACTTTGGGTGGGAAGGGGTGGGGTAGCAAGGTAGGTGCTGAGATAATTGGGGCATGGCTGGATTTTATTATATGGATGGGGGATTGTGTTTAGTATCCACTTTGAGTGAAACACCTCACCTGACTAAATAGACACTTCCTTTGCTTGGGACTGCAGTTGCAACTCTGTGAATGAAATGTACAAATCAATGTCTGAAAATAATGGTCTGATGTTTTAAGTTAAGACATTTAATTTTGTCTGCCATGAGTTAATTTAGATGTGCATGCTGTAGACTTGCTTTCAATGGTGCAAAATCCTAGATTCTTTTTTTGTTTCTGAAAAGGAGGGTAACCTATTGATTGAACTTAATAGAAGCCAAATTTTTTTGGCTCCAACTCTGCATACATCATGTACTAATACTGGTAATGCTATGCACCAGAGTGAGCAAGAATGGAGAAAGACTTAATATTGATTGCATACTTAGTGTAAATTATGCTTACCAGTTCTATTGATGCCAATTTTTGTAATAATTATAACAATCATTGTGAGAATTCTATCCTTGATGAGTCCTTTTCTCTCCTTCAAATCTTCACACTCAATGGAACAAAAACGTCCTCACATACTGTCCATACTAAAACTTTTGTACATTTTTTTTTTCTTGGTCTTAAATTGAAAATCAGAGCATCTGAATGACAACATTTCACTGTATACAGAAGCACTTTTGTTAAAGTTGTGACATATTTTCACTTTTCTTTTTTCTGCAATGATGTACAATAAATGTGATGTATTCGTGTGTGGCCACAAGTGAAAATGCAATTCAACTGAGATGGATTCCCTTTTCTCTTTCCATTAATATTATAGAGCTCTGCACCCTTATGTACCTTTTCACTTTTTGTATTTCATTTCAGTCTGTTGGTGTTACACGGTGAGCTGGATGCAAGATAGATACTGTACTAAATTGTACTGTTATTGATTGAAAAATGTAATAAAAAGCTGTTTAAGATCTCTTTTTGTTGAGTTGAATATAGAAACTACTTTGTATATTTAGTTGTGTTTGGAAGAGTGTGTAAAAGTTTCCTATACATTACTAGATTGGTGTCATTCAGGTTGGTATGGTTTCTCCATAGACCCGAACAAAATCTACCTAACATTTATAACACTGGACTGGTTAATGAATTACAGTTTGGTGGTGGTGGTCTCTACTACTCCTATTTTCACTACCATATACCGGTACTGTTACAACAAGGTGTCTTTCATTGTCAGACAAACCAGCCCTATAAAATACTACACAGATTACACATATCTATATATCTAAATTAAAACTCATTCTCACGGGTTGACTATTTAACTATAACTGTATTGTACTGCTATTTAATGTTTGATTTAGCATATATCAGTTTTTTATATACAAGTACATACCAATAAATTGGGTTGGCATTAGAACACGTTTACAGGTAGATTTTTTTTAGACTGTAAAATAAATTAAAAATAACATCCTCTGTCAAACTTTATTAACGTCTCGGACTGAGCTCAGACTTGCAATTTAATTTATAGTAAAAACAAACAAATGCCAGCTTCCTTTGCACATTACAGAAATCAACAACAACAAAAACTAAATGACAGTGAGGATGTAAAGATAGGTCTCATGTCAGCTTCTGTTACACATCAAATTGTCTTATTTCCAGACCAAGCTAACCCAAGAGACTGATTCTACTTTACAATTAATGTTTTACATTTACATTCGCCCTGACAACTACGGAGTCAGTGACTGAAAAACCGGGTAAAACAGAAATGACATTGTGAATACAGGCTCAACTTTAAAGCTCTTTCTCTGGGATGTGTGTTAAGGTGTCTTCATTGTGTGCGACCAACGTAAACCGCCATCTTCCCATCACTACCAGCCAACGTAACAACAAACTAACGGAAGCTGCTGTAGTGGACACACTGGACTGACCCACTATACTCCGTCACGGGGGGAGGGGGAGCGAAATCAAAATTATAAACAATACAATTTATTGAGTTGTATTACATTATGTACGAAATAGAACACATAATATACCAGTAAATGTGTTTTTACTAATATGTACTTACGAATGATTAAATTACGGTCTACATCAACGACACAATCTATACACATTACCCGCCATGAAATGAAACCGTCCACTCTAATGACGTAGTTCCCGTTTGCTGAGATAATGCCATTTTGGTAGGCCTGACATCTGGGTCTCTCTTTCGCCTCGTGGAACAAAATATATATATATATATATATTCCCTTCTGTGTTTCTTTCTCTACATTTGGGACGAGGCAAGCGTTTTGTTGAAGTCGGATAACTTCATCGGCCCGCGCAAGCCACTACGAGGACGTTGTTTTGTAGTAGTTACAGGGACAGTACGCAGTTTTCGGTTAGCGGCAGTTGAACGGTCGTCGTCCAGTGTTGACGACACAGCTCCCCCGTCCCAACGAACAAAGGAAACCGTGAGGTCGGTGCACGTCCGTTAACGCAGGAGGAGCGGGGTACTGTTTATTAAATTATACAAAAGTTCATTCCACCCGTACGCTATTTTTTTGTTATGGTATTTCGCCTTGAGACGTCTTTTCCTCAAGTATATCCAAACAATTAGCCTGACTCATTCAGTCTTGTTAGCAACATCGGCTAAGGGCAGCTAACGGCTAACTTTTAGCATTGTTTTGATCCAAGAAAGGAGTTTTATTTTTTATTTATTTATTTTTTGAGCGGGGCAAAATGGCCGAAGTTTATATTCGAGTGGCGGAGGAGGAAAACGAGGAGCCCATGGAGATCCCATCCGAGGACGACGGCACGGTTCTCCTTTCAACAGTGGCAGCTCAGTTTCCAGGGGCGTGTGGCCTACGGTTCAGGAGCCCCGTGTCCCAGTGCATGCGAGGAGTGCGTCTGGTGGAGGGGATCCTACACGCTCCAGAAAACGGATGGGGAAATGTCGTGTACGTGGTCAACTATCCAAAAGGTAGATATGAGCACTTTGCATTCACTTGTCTTTGTGACTTTACACTTTGTCCGAACAGGTGACGAGATGTAACGTTATTTATAATTCATGATGTGGCTTCAGCGCGCACTGAAAATAGACACGACGAGTTGTTTGTCCACGCCCACCAAAAACCCATTCATAAAATTAACAAAACAAAGACCAATGGTTTCTGTACAGTTAATGTAGGGGTCAGCTGCCCAGCTAAATGTCACATCAGTGGAGGTTATATGGTTTTTTTTTGGTGTTGTATTAAATTATACCAGGAGGCGTTTGTAATGACACCTGAGTGTAATGCTATACAATTCATCAGGACTTCCAAGTACAGATTCTCAAATTACCTTAAAGCTGTTGACACCTCCTTAAAGGAGGATTTTCTGTAGGGGTGTTGTAATATAGCACTTTAGTTTTCAGCTAGATAGACCCAATAAATTATGCATAACTGTCAACAGCATAATCATTGATATGAAGGACAAACATGTTAGGATCCATTTGCTATTGATTTTTAAAGCAACCTGTCTGTAGTATATATTATGCATTATATGTAGTCCATGGACAAATATTCACACCAACAAAAAATGTTAAGTTTTTTTTAGACAATGGCAACAAACTGAAAATACTGATTTGTATATTTTGCTCTTGTACAGCTTTGGTCTTGGCAGTTATTTACAAAGTCAGCGCGGTAAAAGCAGAGAGAGTCACGATCTCATGGCCGTCTGTCAGGTTAAAATACGATTTCTCTGTCTTGTTCATATTTTAGACAACAAAAGGAAAATGGAGGAAATCGATGCATCATCAGCTGTGAAAATGAAGAGAGGGGACATGAAGACATCTGATCTGATTGTACTGGGTCTTCCTTGGAAAACAACTGAGCAGGACCTTAAAGACTACTTTAGCACATTTGGAGAAGTCATCATGGTTCAGGTATAACATTGGTAACGTTAATAAAATACACATTTCTTGGTGTTGCATGTGGTCACAGTTGATGTTCATCACTCGATATTTGTGTCTTGTCTCAGGTAAAACGAGATGCCAAGACCGGAAACTCTAAAGGATTTGGCTTTGTGAGGTTCACAGAGTATGAGGCTCAAGAAAAGGTGATCTCCCAGCGCCATATGATTGACGGCAGATGGTGTGACTGCAAGCTCCCTAACTCGAAGGTGAATCTGGTAATGTCCATGCGCATACCCACACATTACGGGAATTAAAACTATGTACGCATTTATTTTCAACACTCTGTAACTTGTTTTATTTCTTACATTGCATCCCCTCCTGTTAACAGCAAGGTCCAGATGAGCCACTGAGGAGCCGGAAAGTGTTTGTAGGTCGTTGCACAGAGGACATGACCACAGATGACCTCCGGCAATTCTTTATGCAGTATGGAGAAGTCACAGATGTCTTCATCCCCAAGCCATTCCGTGCTTTTGCCTTTGTAACATTTGCAGATGATCAGGTAAAGGGTTAGTTAAATGTGTAGAAAGGACTTCCTGTTGTAGCCGTTCCACTTCCCAGATGACCTAATTTGTGTCTTTTTTTCCCCCCTCACAGGTTGCCCAGTCTCTCTGTGGAGAGGACCTAATAATCAAAGGTGTCAGTGTTCACATCTCAAATGCTGAGCCCAAACATGGAAATAGGCAGTTTGATCGTACAACACGATTTGGGAATGGTTTTGGAGCTCAAGCATTTGGTAGCAGCCGTAGTGGGTTAGGAAGCAGCACTAACAGTAGTCTGGCTAATTTTGGTTCCTTCAGTCTGAACCCAGCTATGATGGCTGCTGCTCAGGCTGCTCTGCAGAGTAGTTGGGGGATGATGGGTATGCTGGCTAGCCAACAGCAGACATCCACATCAGGCAGTACCTCAAGTGGAACAAGCTCTAGTAGGGACCAGAGTCAGTCTTTCAGTACAGGCAACAGCAACTACGGCACCAGCTCAGCCAGTCTTGGCTGGGGAACAGGGTCAAACTCTACAACCAGTGGGAGTGGGTTTAGCTCAGGTTTTGGGTCCAGTATGGAGTCAAAGTCATCTGGGTGGGGTATGTAAGTTAAATGTTTGTATGGTAAGTATTGTGACAAAGATGAGTCTTTTCAAGAATTTATTTCTGGTGTTGATGCGTATCTGAAAACTTAACACTTTTGTGGAAGATGTTTTGTACATTTGGAAAAAATGCTAAAGATTTAATTTAGAAAGTGTTGAAGTGAGTTGTTTACCAGGATGTCCGACTAAAGTGCTATTTTTGACGTCTCATTTGTTTGTATCCATTTCAACTGGATTCTCTAATGCATGTATTGTGAAATGTGATAACCATTTTGAAAATGCATGAATGTTTGTGGTTCACCATTATCTGGCTTTGTCATCGATTTAAAAGGCAATCTTGCATTGGGAAGAATCTGGTTGAAACCTAAATGTTTTAAGTGCAACTTTTATTTGCAGTCAAGTTCTGTGGAAAAGCCTTCATTGAAATCTCTTCTGCAGTTCACCTCTCTTCCATTTTCCTGTGAGGAAGTTCCTCTTTGGCAGCATTCTTGGGGTGATATCGGTATCATTCTCCCTCTTCCCACCTGTAAATGCTATGCCATCAAAGAACGGCTTCACTCCGCATGTTCTAAGAGACGGTGGGTGTTTTCACTTTTATCCACTTTTAAATGGAAAGAACTGCGCAACTGACATTTTAAGAACTGATGAGTGCGATTGAGGATGGCTTGTGGCGAAGAGTGAAGCGATGAGTGAGCGAACGGAGAGACGCGTGAAACGGACTGGTTGTGCGGTGAAAGAGCCCAATTTGACTGCTTTTTGAGTGTGTGAGTGGAAGCTGCAGATGCTACGAGCGCCTCCCCTAACATGGACATTCATTAATTAATACTTCAAGATTTTTTTTTTTTAATCTTTGCAAGTTTTTCCTTACTCTTAAGTATGTCGATCAAGTGCAGAAATATCAAAATGTAGTGGAATGTTGTGATGAATATTTGTATTGCTTATATTATCTGATTTGAATGCTGTATGGTGTGTGCTTTCATGTTATTGAACTGATCTGTAAGTGTGTACTTGATGTGGATGACACCTGCTGAAGACTCTGGGGGACGCGAGTGATAGTGTGAGAACGTGGAGTGGTGTGTCCAATGGTTCCCAGTAGCTCTTGTTGTTTGTGGGGTGTTTTAAAACATGTCAAATGAAGGGAGTTCTCTAATAAAGTTCATTTGAATAGATGCTTAGTTGATATTACTTGAGTCAGTTTGTCAAATAAAAAAACATCTAATTCGATTCACATATCTAGGGACCTTGGGCTCTGCTGGTCGAGGTCTCCGTTTGAACCCTGACTGAAGTCTGTTCTGAAGGACGAAGACGGAAGTTCCAACACTTTCAGTGTGTGGCCTTCTCAGACATGACATGGGGTAGTACCTGTCTTTTTGCTGCTTTTGATGGCTTGTCAGAGTGAATTATTCCTTTTTATTCTTCACAGCTACTTTTAGAGGGAAGTTCTTGGGGAATCACTGTCTTTATTTGAACTTTAACATATGAGCTCAGTAATGTGGCATCACCTCACAAGCAATGTTAAAAAAATAAAAATAAAAAATCTAATTTGGCTAAAGTAGTAAGAACTAATGGCACATTGCTGAGCTGTGGAATTAGTGATGGGGATTTTTACATTGCCTTATATATTCAGTGGCCACTTTATTAGGTACGCCTGTACAGTCTTGCAGTTTAATCCAACTGTTCTGCTACAAATGGTAATTTTATTAAGTTTGTAATATGACTGCTTTGACATTGAAATTTGTGAATTTAATTAGGTTTAATACTGAGTTCATAGTCTTAGGTGATGTTTTACTTTCGGGGCTACAGTATATTGAGGTTTTTCTGATTTATTCTGTTTCCGTCCCTATTTATGTACACAAAGAGGGGAAGAATATTAGAGAAACCTGAATAATGCACTCCAGTATGTTATAAAAGTAGACATTATGGCAGGTGTATTGGATTGCATTAGATTGCACGTGTACCTAATAAAGTGGTCACTGGGTGTACATTATGGATAGTTTGCCTGACAGTCTTAAGTCCATTTGAGGTTTACCAAAATATTTAATTATTAATAATAATCTTAATAGAAGATTTTTGTAGTCAGTGTCACTTTGACAGTGCTTTTTAAAAAAAAAAATTACCTACATTTGTATTTGTTCATACATTTGTATTGAATGTCAAACCAGTGCCAAATGCACTACATTTTGACATTGCATCAGCAGATCCCAGGACAGATAACGGTCAGAAATCTGCAGAAAGTGTAAAATAAAACTACTGTAATGTGACATAAGATCTTATGCTGTAGGTTAGTTTAAAGTTGAAATGCATTTTTCCCATGAAAGAATGATTATGGCACCTTTATGACACTGAACTCACTGTCATGTATTAGTCAGCCTTCATGTTTATTTGAATGTTGGGTACAAGTGAGACACTGCAGGGCCTGCCTGTGTCTTGTCCTTATTGTCTGCTTTCCTCCTCCTCAGTGTCTCTGCTCTTCCTCTTCCCAGTACTCTTCTTTTTCAAATCCCTCTGCTCCTGGTTCAGTTCCTCGCTTTTATTTTGTATGTAGATGGACTGAAATAAATAAAGGCAAATTAAACATTCAATTTGCTGTCTGCTGTAGAATATATACCCCTACACAGTTCCAGTATTATGGAGGATGAAAGGTGGCTCATACATTATTACACACATACATATAGGACATAAACTCTGTACAATTCCTGTCTGACAATGAAATAACTCACTAGTGCAGTACTGCGACGGGCTACGAGCTTCACATCTTCTGTAGACACAGTACTTCTTTTAGCATGCCTGAAATTAGAGAGTTAAGAGATTATACTCCTATATGCTGGATTAAGACAATTGAACAAAAGATCTACTCAGGTATTTTGGCTAAAGTACAAGAAAGTTCAGGGTTAATTTATCTGCTAATATGGTTACAAAATAAAAGATTCTTACCTGGCAAAGGCCTCCAGGTCTTTAGCAAATATATCTGGGGAAAAAGAACAGTTGGATGTTTACTTTAGACTGACCTGTGGCAATTATGAAATGGAATTATATTGAACATTATTTCAAATATTTTGTTCACCTCTATTTACATACATAAGGGCTCAGAATATTAAAATACTTTGTAGTTAGTTACACATATACATTCTTCACACAGTCAACACAGCGGGAGTTTATCTGGACTAAATTGGATGGATAAATTAATTCAGTGACCACTTATTTCCAAATTCACTTTTTTCACTCTCAACCACCAAAACGCTGCTTTTCTTACACATTTTTACATCATTTTTAATAAAATAAAATTTAAGTAGATGCCAATTCACTAATTTGAACATATTGCATCAACATTTGCTATTCAGTTTCATATAATCTATATAAATGAGCAGATCTTTGGAAGAAGTTTTTATATTCAAACATTAACTCAGCCAGACACAAGAGTTGGCCGGGAGACGGAGAGGAGTACATTATGTGTGGTAACGATGTACTGAATGCTGCCTGGATATATCTGCAGATTGCCAGAGATGGATGGAGCATACAATGTGAAGTGGTTAGTATGTTGTGGTCAAATGCAGAAGACAGGGTTGTGTCGCACTGCTGTACGTCTGTATGAATTACAGTAGTAGCTACCCTTTACATGTGTGTATGGTATATAAACACACTTTTTGTATTACATTACTGGATTTACTTTGCATTTTGGGATAACTTCGCAAAATAGGTTAAAAATAAAATATTGAAGCACAAGGCAGGATTTCTGATTTATTTCTATTCAATAAAATTTTTCAATGCAACTTTATTTGTATAGCGTCAAATCATAACAGAAGTTACAAAGTTACACTGACACGTTTCAGGTAGAGCGGGTCTCCTGTGTTTGTTTTTTTGAACTATTTTTGGGGACATTTTGTGCTGACAGTAAATGAGGTGACAAGGTTCAGCCAGGTTCCTGTGTTGCAACTCAAACCAGGGCTAATGTGATTACATTGTCAACGTCTTTAAACCCTCAGAGCAACAGGATACCTCAGTACTGTAGTAATGGTAGACTGAGCTGATGCTGATTGAGACCAACTATTGTACCAAGATGCATGCTGGTAAACAACTGTGTGAAGTTCTGGAAAAACACTTGAGAAAACTCGTAAACACGACAATTCAATGTAACCATAGAGCTTTATATTACATTATTGTTTCAGAGCTATTATTGGATTGGACAAAATGTACAAATGTACCCAATAAACCAGTAACTCAGTTGATTCGTGTGACTGGATCTGCTGCTGGGTTGTATAAGTTATGCTTTGTAATGATGTGTTGTTATAATATGTTACATTTATAAAGAGGAGGAGGAGACAGGACATATTTTGCTGCCTAATATGTATTAACATGCCACAACCTGAGGGACAGTGAGTGACCTAGACCAGTGTTTCCTAACCTTTTCCATTAAGGGACCCTTTTTTGTATCATTGAGTAAACTGAGGACCCCTGACTATGTGACATACTTTGAGTATTTCAGACTATATTCAATGCACAGCACTACCACTTGTGACTGAGCAATTTGGATGATTTTTGAGTTGACCAGTGAAAATTACCAAGAGATGAGTTGTCCTGATATTTTAGGGACCTTTTAATACAATTGAGTCTGTATTATGTTTTGTTTTGTTTTTTTGGGCAATCATACATATTATTATTATTTTTACAAATTCAGTGTTTAAAATCCTGAGATATACTACTGTGTATATTTCTAAGTTTTCTTACACCCCTTAAAATCACTGAAGATTTGGTGATGATATTTTTACCAGTCTGTATATATTTGATACTTGCTTTGGCTTCACTGTTAAACGTCTGTTTCCATGCCAATAAAGCCCCTTTGTATTGAATAGAGCTGGACGTTGACTCCCTCTGTTGGACAAATAACACTGAACAAAACTTATTTTATTGAACCAATCTAGAAAAAGAAATACGCACAATTTAATCTCTATCCAAACAGCAAGACATACTAACGTTAGATTGATAAGTAGACGCTGTACACTTGACAACAGTCTGTCTGAAAGTTATAATGTAATATATGTGAGTATCCTCGCTGACACCCACCACATTGTCTCACTGCTGTCTCGGCTATGGCTGCGATCACTTGTCGGCTGAACTCCCTCCGGTAGTCTTCTCCCATCTTCTGACAAATGCGACTCACAGTATAATGCACCGCAGCCTTTAACCTCTGAAATTAAAACCATTAACATCAGATTAACCTCTGAAATTAAAACCATTAACATCAGATTAAAATGCACCAACGTGTCGCTAACGGCGTCCAACTGTAACCAACGGCTGTGTAACCGTTAGTTAGCTTTAACTAGCTAGGTAACGATAATATTCGCCACACCTGACGAGCTGTCACATAAGATCAAATTAAAGCTCTCACCTGGTGCGCCTCCTCTTTATCTACGGACATTTTCTTGTGAAGAAAGGTTTTGTTCGGCCACCGGAACAAAAGGAGATTACTTACAATGACTGCAGTTAAGTAAGTTCGTTAACAATGCTGGGGACAACTTTGTAAACACATATTTCAGCTGAAGCTAACAGTTAGCTCAAAATGAAAACTCGCGGCACAAATTTACCAACAAACCAACAACTGCTTGTGTTTAATTATTTTATTTAATGTACAACTTTTATAGCATCATCGTGTGGTCCGGAGGAGGTACTGCAATGTTAAAAACACACATTTAACCCGTTGATTGAACAACACGTTATAATATTCAAATGACATGCTTTTTTTTAATTAAGTTGTCCATTTGATGTGTGAATTAAGTCTGAAATGGTCTTAAAGATCACAGAGTCCTTTTATAAATTTGCTTGCAGACTTTATCCTCACAAGTAAGTTCCTGAAGAGAGAAAACAACAAGTTGTAAAACTTTACAATATAACTTATGTTTGTAAAAAGAAAAAAAAACAATTGTAAGTAAGTATATCATTGATTGAATTGTTGTATCTGTTTTCAGGGGAGAGCGTGAATATTTATAATTTTCCACGTGCATGACAAAATACTAGAAATCTGCATAACATATGACAAATCAGGAGAGCCACAAACACTAATATATATATATATACTGTATAAACACTGTGTAAACACTGTATATGAACTGCGTACCAGATGAAGCTCGTCACCCTGAATCCAGTGAGTCCATCCTCGGTTCTTCTTTTCTCCTTTCTGTACACACACCAGCCTATCATTTTCCCAGTGGACCACAGTCTGATAAAGGAAGAAAATGCAGCAAACTACATATATAAGAATGGTAGAAAACAGGCTGGTGTATGCACGGATCTGTATGAAAAAGGCTTTTATTTTCTTATATTTGTGTGGTAATGATCACTGAAACATTACCTTGCATAACCTGTTGTCCATCCCTTTAGTCACCTCTGTGAACTCTTCTCCAATTTTGAATGAACACTCGTAGTTTCTGAACGTAGTGAACGTCCTGATTGAGAAACAGTCTCCATCTTGTTTAATCACTTTCTGGGGCTTCAACATCGAGGCAATCTTGCGTGTTGCAAAATCAATGCCTGCGTGCCAAAATGAGAGGAACTTTACCCTGCTTCTACGTCTATCATCACGCTTTGGTCCGAAAACTAATTTACACTCAACTTCCACTCACTCTCCAGGTCATTGACAAAAATAAAATGCACATTAATTCACATAAATGATGCTGTGAATATATTCACTACAGATAAACGGCTCAGTTTACTATACAAAAATATTTCCCTCATATTATAATTACACATTTAATTTAAGAAAACACTCAAATATCAGTGTGTATTTTCTTTCTTTAAAAAGATCCAGTGACTTACCAAGTGCCACCATGTAGCCCTCAAAATTGACATTGCTGCTAATGTCCCACGTCCCGCTGTAGTCGACAGGCATGTTGGATGTTTACTTGACTCTCTAGAAGACTCTACAGCTTGAGTATGGACAAGAGAACAGATTTAAAGATAAAGGGTGGGGTGTTTCATTGTGTGTCAATATGGGGCAGGGGTGATATGTTGCTGGCTGTTGCTCTTTCAGACACATACAGAGGAGGAGCACTGGAGGGCGGAACAACACTTTATTTACACATAATATGAGGAAACTATTCCCTTCCTGTTGAGATGAAAACCTCTGTACAGGGTGCTCTTCTTACATCTTATAATCGCACCTTTTAATACCAAAAACAATCTTAATCTTTAAGTTTAAATTTGTGTGCAGATGTTGGGCTTTCAACATGCAACAGACGTCTCTGTGCATGTGCAGCGTGAAACACAATCCTTCCTCCTGCTCACATGTGGAGCTGCTGGCAGTTCTTCAGCTATCAGGTACAGTGTTAACAGCAAACGTGTGCCTGAATGTGCAACATCCATGTTCCTCTACATGCTAATCTTCATGGCGTATCATAGCAGCAGATGGATACCGAAGAATCAGAGATTAAAGTTGTAAGTGCTGTTGTTGTTTCTAGTCTTTTTAATCTTTTCTGTTTAAATTTGATAGAAAGAAAATACCCTGGATGTTAATTTATGTTTTATTGATGTTCCATTTGTAGTCAGATAGTGAATGCAGTGTTCACGGCACTTGTTCTGGTCCCTCAGTTCTACGTCATGGGAAGGTAAGTAGGACAAAGGTGATGGCATCGAGGCTTGTGGGTCATTTGTACAAGAGGGGGAACGTGCCGTTAATAATCATGATGTTTGTTTTGTTTAAAAAGGCCAAAATCCTCAAGATACTGCAGGCAACCTCTTCTGAACAACCTGTCGGCCTCCATCGCCTTGTCCTTCATAGCTTCAGGTAGATCTCATCACATCCGACACATTTTTAAACAGTATTTTACATATGATCAATAAGACACGGCACAGATGGCACAAAGAAAAAGGATTAATATCTAGATCTCTTTCAATAGGTTTTTCAGTGATATTCACATTAATAGAACCGGTTCCTCAGAGCTTGTGGGCTGCCTATCATGTGTTCGGGCTGCTGACGTGCGGACAAGGATTATGCACTGCCATCCTGACTCTGACAGCAGCAGCATGTGTAAGAAAAAGACTGTCTGTTGTTATTAAGGTCTATAGAGAAACTGCAGCATCAGAATGAATTGTATATTTATATTCACAGGCCAAAACCACCCCTGAGCTGTACTACATGTCCCTTATTCTAACAGTCGCTTCTATTTTCAGTACAGGTGAAGTTAATTCCCTATAAAACCATTCATACGCTGAATTTTCAGTTCAAAGGAATAACACCTGCTTGTGTCTGTTCAGGTTTTTTCACGGTGCGAGGAGGACTCTGGTTGACTAACAGGCTGTCTGTCACAGACCAGAGCAGAAACAATGAGCGATAAAGCAGTCCAGCTGTCCCCACATTGTAATCGGATACTCCACATATTAAGATTTCATGTGGTTTCCATGCCACCAGCAGCTCGTAACTAAAAACCATGGGAAGAAAAAAGAAAAAAGGGGGAAAGTGACTTAATCCTCTTCACGTTTTAAAGCTCACTTTCCACTAAAAAACAAATACCACAACGCAGATGTTTAATCAATTGTCATAACTGCTTTTTATTTGTTCATGGACATTTAGATGTGTTTTATTTGCTAATAACTATGTACTTTACACAGTAGATTCGGTGTTTAATTATACAAAAACAGATGTCTGTATACAGTACTGAAAGTGGTATTTATCTCATTGGAAAAGTAAAGCTACATTACACAAACCATAGCAGGAAAATTGAAAAGGCAAATGCTTTATATTGATGAAACTAGGCTGTCCAGGTTGTAATATTTAAAAAAAGTGCAGATGCTGTTTCAGAACAAAAGTGATCCCCTTAAGAAGGTTAGTTAGAAAACAATAAACTGGAAAGTCCAGCCAGTGCAACTTGTAGATTATTTTTACCTGCTCTTTTCAATTTCCACGAGTAGCGATATAACTGATTCACACAGCCAGAATGAATTATTACTCTTCATATCATATGTATTAATCACAAATCATCTTCCACACCTAATGAGCCAAATTTTTCAAACAACAAGAAAATTATACTTATGGGAAGAAAATCAAAACACTTCAAAATGCAGGAAATAAATATTCCTGTGGCCTACGACAAAAAGCCTGTTTTGCCGATGTGATGCTTACCTTACAATGAATGGGAAGAATATTTCGTCGATGTAGTGAAGATACATCACAGACACTTTTTATGTCTCTTTTCAGCTTGTTCTTTACTTGTTTTTGACTGCTGAATGTCAGTAACAACCCCCTTATTTAAATATGGTATATAAATCAACCTAAATTGAAATAAAACTGCTCTTGTTTGGACTCTATCTATAAAAAGCAACTGAAGATCAGATAAAATACATGGAATGTTAATGTGATGTGTTTAAGTCAGGAATGTGCATTTTTTTTAGTGAAGCACCAAATTTCTTTGAATTACCTGAAATATTTCAATAACAAATGTTCATATTTCTATATATATCTATTATCACACAAACATGTGGGACCAGTCACATTCAGTGGGTCACCGCCACTCAATAATAGAAAACATACAATCAAGAAGTGTAGATTACACAGCTGCAAATTCACAAATTCACCTGAGATTGTACAAACACCCTGGACTGTTCGCAAATAAATCTTTGTGTTTGTTGGAACTTGTTTATCAAATATTCATGTACTGCCACCGTACATACCCTGTACTTTGTAAACTGCAGATATGTATACTTCATGTGTCTATTCGATTTTCACTCATCTCACACATCATTAGGCTTAGATAAACTATATAAAGTCTGTATATGCATTTCACACACACCCACACCCACACCCACACCCCCCCCACACACACACACACACACAGAAAAAGATTTGAATGAGGTTTGAACTGTCAGGAAAATAAAGGACCGTATAAGTTGGTTTTTACTTATTAACAACAAATTACAAATGCTTAACATTCCTGCAAACACATTTTCAAAGCTTCTGATTGATCTTTAAAGTTGAAATTTAGCTGCAACTCTTGTGGGTGAATTCATGTGTTGGAAAACTCCACATCCGCTATCTGAGCCTTTTTAAGTTGTCTTAACAGCAGTCCCATTGATGTAAGAGTTCTTTTCACAGTGTCTAATGTATGTTTTCTTACAAGCACATGAATCCACCAATGAGGGACTGGGTTTTAAACCAGCTTTCTATTACAAGTTTTCCACTGCGATACTACACAATGAAAGCTGTAATGGATTTCTTATTTGGATCAAAGTTCAAGTCTCTGCAGGTACTTTTCTAAACTCTAAGTAATTGCTGGTTAGAAGGTAGGGAATCAATCAGAAATATGCAGCAGTAATGCTATGCAGTATATATGATTTGTGGTTAATAAGCTAAGACGTGTCAGACCACGGGTCCTTTAAGTCCTGGCTCATACATTCTTTCCCACCAACCAGCTGTTCAATTAAAGCACCTCCAAAAACATAAATTGAAAGTTAGGAATGTAACCCCTATCCTATAAGTGCATTATAGTCTATATACCAAACAAGTTTGCCATTAGTAGGCTTCACCCCAGTCACAGGCCATTTGTCTGGATTGTCCTTCACTCGGCTCAGCTGGGTGATCAGCTCATGCTTGCCTTTGCCCATCACCAAAACAGCGACCTTATGGGCTCGGTTAATGGCACTGAACGTGAGGGTCATGCGCTGGTGAGGCTTGATGGGGCTCTCTGTGAGGGCCACCAGACTCTCCCCGTGTTCATCCACTTTATTACCGGGGAACAGAGAGGCCGTGTGGCTGTCATAGCCGACTCCCAGCAGCACAAAGTGGAAGCTGGAGCCATTGACCAACTTGCTGACCTCTTTCTCGTACATCAGAGCTCCTCCGTCCTCCTCCACACATAGACGCTGGTTGAGCTGCACTGGCATGGGGTGGATGTTGTAATAGGGTATCCTCACGTGTTGCAGTAAATGGTCGTGCAGGCTGTGGAAGTTAGACTCCAGTTCGGTCATTGGTACGCAGCGCTCGTCCACCATCCACACATGGGTTTTCCTCCAGGGGAAGGAGAAGTGGTGCAGGGCCAACCTGAAGTACAGAGCTAAAGGAGAGGACCCACCAGAGAGGGCAAGATGGAAAACGCCATCCTTGTGCACAGCTGCCTCCGCTGCTTCCTGTATGTCTGCAGCTAGCCTATTCACCAGCTCCTCAGACCAGGCAGACACCATCTCAACACTACGAAATTTGCCTTGCATCACTTGGAAACCGTTTGCTGACGTGCCACCCATCTGATCATTGTTGATTATCACCACCTCACTGTTGTAGCTAATTTCTCTGCCTTTCACATGGATGTCCAGCAGGTCTCCGTTGTCGGCACCCCCGGGGTAGATGCGGGGGAAAGAGCTGGCGAGGCTACTGAGTAGCGGCGTCCACAAGCCCCAGGAAGCCAGCAAGTTTTCAGTACTAATGAAGCTATTCTTGTGTCCAGCAAAAATGTGAGAAATGAGTTCTGAATAAGCTTCCCTCGGCTTTGTTGGAGTTTGCACATAGTAGTCTGAAATAGGCAAACCTAGAACATCGACATCTGCATGCTCTGTCACTTCCTTCCATTCACTGTCCTTTGAAACTGGCTTGAATAAATTCTTACTCACAAGGATTGCTGGATATTGAAGACGGCCATGCCCAAAGTGGAAAACTATTTGTTTGGGCTTGCAGTGAACGCTGTTGTGGTTCTGAAGACAAAAGACATCATTCTTGAAAAGTATGCGTGCATATCCCACCCGTTCATCTAACATCTTCCCTGAGATCAAAAGAATCGGCACACCTTCATACTGGACATCATCGATGTACGCCAAAACAGCTGAAATACACAAACAGGATCACTTTTTTTTTTTTTTACAATTCAACAGTAAATAATACATTAAATCATAATATTTAAAAAAAAAAAAAGCTATTACTCCTCACCTGCAAATGTTGGTGTGAGACTGACATGATCTTTCGTCTTATTCAGCTCCTGTTGAACCTCTGTTTGGTATGCTTGGTACTGGCCGACAACAGCTTGGTTCTTTCCTACAGGCAGCAGGGAGCTGAAGATCTGCAGCTTGTTTTGCAGGATTTCCTCACTGCTGCTCAGATTCAGGGGAAGTCTCATGGTCAACAGGGTCATGACCTCTGTCAAGTGGTTCTGTAGCACATCTCTGACCACCCCGTACTGGTCATAGAAGGGAATACGACCTTGAAGACAAAACGACAAGGGAGTACATGAACATACGAATGATCGTCTTAAAATAATTAATTACAACAGCATTGGCGCAATTTTTAAAATCACCTTTCACATCAAGGGTCTCTTTTAATAAAATCTCCACTCTCTCAATGTGTTGCTTGTTCCAGATGGGATCCAGAAACTTCTTGTGCTCTTCTCTGAATGGAAGTATCTTTGCAACCACCTTTTCACAAAAGCAGAAAACAAACCATGAAATCAAACATCTCTACTACAGAATCACGGACATACTGTGTAGGATTCTCTTACCTGCTTCCCTAGGTAATGGTCAATTCTGTACATTTCTTCATCCTTTAAGGAGTTCCCGAGCTGAGATGCAAGCACCTGAGCACTCCTAAAGTCGTGTCCAAAAGGTTTCTCTAGCACCACTCTCAGCCACGCCCTGCTGGTCGGCCTACAACTACTATTGATGTTATCAGCAATATCTGCATATGCAAAGGCTGGCACTGAGAGGTAGAAGAGCCTCCCTGCCTCTGTCATACCCTCTTGTTGAAGCTCTTGCTCAATGTTCTTGACCAGATTTTGGTAGTCCTCTAGGGTCTTCAGCTGCCGATACTGTGAGAGCCGCAGGAACTGGTCTTTAAGCACAGCGCAGCGCTCCTTGGATACATCCTTTGAGCAGGACACCGCCTTCAGGATCTCAAAGAGGACCGGTGTGCCCTTGTCAGTAGGTGTCAGTCCTCCGCCGTAAAAGGAAAAGGTGTTTGCACCTTTGACCTGGTTAACGTACAGCTCGAAGAAGCCCTGCCACAGATACTTCTTTGCCAGGTCACCTGTGCCTCCCACTATGACCACCGAAACATGGCCAGGTCTCTGTGCCTCATCTCTCTTCTCGCCACTTCCTCCCTGGGCACAAAGAGTGACCAGAAGCAGTAGCGCAGTCACAAACATGCTCTGGTCCTAACCGTCCAAACTCCTGTATGAACACAGCAATGTGAGACATTACATGTAGGCATTAATCTAGCACCACTGAGCAATTAATACATCAAAGCTAAATATATAATTGACCAAGCATGAAAAATAACTGTGAAAATGTTTCTAGGGTAGGGTGGATAGTGAATATTTTCACTATTGAGTAATCTGCAGATTTCATTGTTTAATGTCATAAAATATTGAAAAACTCAACGTGATGCATTCTTTTTTCTTTTTTGATGATGAAGATGTTTAATTTATGATTAAGTATGACAAAGAAAAGCACTCTCAGTTATGGTTAGGAGATCGACTAATTCTTTCAGCTTATTTTTTCATGTTTGTGATAAAAAACTAATTAAACATGAGCTTTCATGAAATGTTCCCAAAACTAAATAAAATTAAATGAAAAAATATTTGCACTTTGCCTTCTGAATGCCAGCAGAAAAGCTACAACTGAAAAAAATAAAGTCTAATTCACAATATGAATCTAACATTTCTAACAATGTGCACATTCAATACATACTGCTGTATTTCTTTTGCAGTGTCAAAAGATTTAACAGCTGTTCACATGTAAAATTAAACGGCAAATTTTAACATCTAAGAGCCAATACAGATACATAATCTGAACACTATGAATGCGAAGCATTAGTTAATTTAACAAATACACTGGAATTTACACAAATCTCCAAACAGATGAACAAGAAATTACTTAGCAATGTCTCTTTATCCAGCTGTTCTGAAGTCCCTGAAGACAGTGATGTGGTGCTGTGATACTGTGATGAGGGTAATGATCAGTGGATAGTGGTGGATAAGGGGTAGAGACTTTGCACTTTGCTCAGGGGCTTTGAGCTTCCAGTAATACAGTTATGTTGTTGATAGAGGGCTGGGAGTCCAAACAACTGACTTTACAAAGACCTAAAATGATTTATTTAGCCAGATAGAAAAAAGTCTTCGACAAGGCTGTTAAAAATGCAGTGGAAATCAATTAACTGGAGGAGTAATAAAGTCTTGCCTTGCATTCTTAGTTGATTGTAGGAAAACTTTCTTTATCTGATATAACATTTGGATTTTAATGTGGAGCACTGAAGAGTTGGAGCCATTGTTCTGAGGACCCTGAAGCAGTGAAATATTTCATGCTTTGCATGTGACTTAAAGGATCTCAAACAATCAATCAGTTGAGTATTTGGTGAGCAAGCAGTGCAGAGAAGCCAGAATTAAGACAGAATTATCTACAGTCACCATGTTTCTACAGTAGCCCAGGAGGGACAAACCAAACACTGGCTCTAGAAGTGCATTCGTGTTTTTCGTACGTTTCACAGCCACCACAGTTTCTAGTATTTTTATTCTTTGGCTTCATATTCAACCCAATTAGCATCTAGTGCACAGATTCCAATTAGAAAGAACATGAAAACAGGTAAACAGTTCACATGCTGCTTCATATCCGGTGACCTGGTGCAGCCAGAACAACCTGGAGCTCAACCCTCTAAAGACAGTGGAGACGGTTGGAAGAACCCAGCCCCACTATCACTCTGTCTGACTCCCCTGATGGTGCACTTCTACACTGCCATCATTGAGTCCATCCTCACCTCCTCCATTACCATCTGGGACGCTGCTGGCACGAGACTGCGGTTCTACCAGGACAAAAACCTCATACCACCCACCCTGAATCTCTGCGTTACATTAATTAACTTGGTTTTTATCTTGCACATTGCAATATCATTATATTTTACTGTTAACTTTCACACAAATACACAATATTTAGCAAATTCCTGCAAACTATACAGCTCTTCATTCATTTATTTAAATAACGGTTATATTATAATATCATTATTATATTACATACATACTGTCTCATTTTTATATTTGTATATTTTGTCTCTTTTTATTGGCTTTTCTTTATTTATATTTCTCCCTGTTTATTGTAATGCTCCAATTTACCAAGGCAAATTCCTTGTCTGTGAAAAGCTACTTGGCAATAAACCCGATTCTGATCCAAAAGACTGATAGGAGTCAGAGGAACTATATCTTCAAGGCAGTTACTGAACCCTGTTCTACTCACTGCAATGTGCAAAACAATATGCTAATTCGAATCATCAGTGTCTTGATAGATACTACATCTTCATTACTGCCCTCACTGACTTTCACTGATTTTGTTGCACCAAAAACAAACTCTAGATGTGGGAAATCTAAGTTTTTGACGGTCAACACACAGCTGTAATCTGCAGCTGCGTAGCATTATGGAGCTATAGTTATAGGCCTAGATGTTATAAACCTGATAAATGACAGAGAACATTTTAGTTTCCCCTCTCTCTGGGGAGACTGAGTATTGTACACGTTGAACAGAACGCCCACAGTATGAAGCTCATTTAATGACTGAGAGCAACATCTGGAATCCCTGCGTTCCACAATCGTGTTTACACAGTGGCACTGCAAACAGCAAAGGCCACCTCACGAGTGCTGACTGCTTCAACAGCTCACTTTTAGCTCTGATCTAGTTTTTTCTCTCAACAATAACACTTTTAACACACATTTTATGCAAAACAAGAAAAAACAGTTTCCCAAATCCCACCTAATTTATTCTTCTTTTTTTTCTCATTACATTGGTGTTTTAAAACTACACACCACTCTTATCTTTTTCATTAATTTCTTATATTTTTCTCTTATTGAGTTCTATGGTTCATTTTTTTATCTGCTAATTTCCCCACAAAAATCAGTCAAAGACGCTATGTTCATTCTATGTTCACTTCAGTCTTTTTTCAGCACATGATTCCTCCTCAGTCACAAGCTGCTTTCATTTTCTATCAGCATAGAAAATGTTTCATCACGCCAATATTCATGCTCTAAATGGATTATGTTTCCATCAAATTTGGCATAAAAAGTGTGCAAAAAACCCCCAAAACAGACAAACAAAAAAAGGGAATCATCATTTCTCCAGAGCACCCACAGGCCGTCACACGTGACTCTAAACTGACCTTCACACACACTCTTGTGTACACAACGCTTCCCGGCAATGACTTTGACTCTACCAAAATTATAAAGACGTTTCCTAAAGGAACATCATGGGAACAAGCAGTGATTCCAGGGGCCGAGCAAACCATATTAACCAGACTCCATTGCCCACGTTTACAATGACGACTTGTTTGATGGCTGACCAGTTTTGTTCATGACTGATGAAAGCACTGCAGAGATGTGGTTGACTGTATCCAGTTTGCTTTTGACACAGCCAAGTGCTCCAAAGTAAATAACATGATTCTTCTGACAACTGCAGGGATGTTTAAACTACTGACTCACTATCATAAGAACCTGATGAGCCCAAGTGTCTGTTAGCCTTCAGTACAAAGTTCATGCTTTTCATTGAGAATGCCCTTCTCACTTTAATGGCTGTGAATTTATGATCCTGGGATAATAAATCCCATCTTATACCTTCACAACATAATCAATATGTGGGTTTTGAATACTCCACTGTTCGTTTGCTTTGTTTTTTTCATCTGTTGAATTTGGAACATGTGTTTACATCCTCAAATTTAGTCACCTTACTGAAGTCTTCATCACTTTCTTTCACATAGGTTGGAAGAAAAATGTATGATGGCATTCACTGCCATCAACTTAAACTGGCCTTGAATGGCAGTGTGTGCTTTTATGTAAATCAAGATGAAGCAAATGTAGCCAACGTTCACATTGATAACACTGAGTGAGAGACCATAAACCTTCCTGTAGAGTGCTTTACATTTTCTACTAGTGATTACATTGAAGCCACAGACATAAAACCGTTGTCCTACCTGTATATCCTGCTGGTATAAAAAAAAATCCCTCTGTTGTTTACTTAGTTCACAAGGTGTGACTCTATTCCATTCACCAACGCAACTTTATTCAACTCTTAAAACATTATGCAACTATTTTACCTTAAAGTAATAGCTTCAAAATAATTTTGATTGTACACTGACTTGTACTAAAAGAATGGGGCCTTTTTAAGTCCCACTCTGTGCCCTGAACGCCTGTTCTTACTCTCATGTAACAAGGCAAATTAGCTAACAAGCTAAGCCACAGTTAACACCAGTTAGTAATTACTTTAGCAACAAGTAGAGCGATCCGTCCATCAGGAAACTTCCTTAAATCACTGAGAGCTGAGGCGGAGCAGCCGGAGGACATTAGAGAGAAATCCAGAAAATATCATCCAGATCAGATCATGGTATAATAAATTGCATTTGAGTTGCTAAGAATACCAATTCTTACATAATGTTTCTATCTAGAGCCACTGTTTGGTTTGTTCTTTCTGGGCTACTGTAGAAACATGGTGGTTCAACATGCTGACCTCTATGTACGGTGACCCGCCCGCGTCTGTAGATATAAACCAGCTCATTCTAAGGTAATTTATCTGGTTATTATACCTTATCTATGCAGAAAACAAGCAAAAGGTAAAGGCTAAAACTGCACTATGTGAAATAGGTTTAGGTTTGAAACTATAAATAAACATACTGTTTTGTTATGCTCAGCTGTTTCCAGTTTAATATAATAATTATTACTGTTTTTAGAGATTAAATAAAATTATTTAATGTGCCAGAAAGGTTTTGCTCCAATTTTATAGAGCATATAACAGCTTACATCTGTAAGTCCAATGTAATAATCAATAAACATAACAAACCTTTACAGCTCGCTCGCTCGCTCTCTCTCTCTCTCTCTCTCTCTCTCTCTCTCTCTCTCTCTCTCTCACACACACAACACTCACACACACACACACACACACACTTTAAAAGGCTCCCTACACACATCCTGTTGTACACGTGCTACTTTAAATTACCCCAAACAAAATGTGTGTTTTCCTGTCACCCAGGAAACAAAACACCACACACACATATGCATTCAGGGGGTTGTTTATAGTATTTATAGGTCGCAGCCTTTCAAAGATTGACTTCATTTATCCACAATGATGAAAGTAGAAACTCTCCGGTTAGAGGTGAACGTACGTTAACGTCGGTGATTGTATCTCTACTACACACTGTCAGTGTATGTGTTGAGTTACTTTATCGAAGCTCATTTGTTATTTGTTTACCAGCCTCCACAGTTGTTGACTTGTGTGATTAAAAAACCCAACACACACCGACGGATGGAGGACAAAACGTTTTAACGTTGCACCGATTGCACCTGCTTCCGCTAACGTAACACACGTACAGTCCTCCACGTTCCTCTCGGTAAAGCTTACACTGCACTACTTTGAACCGGAACAGTTCACGGGACTAAAACTACTCGTGTAAAGGCGTTAAGGCGGCTAACAGACTCTGTCTAGAAAGTTAATTGTATACGAACCTGCCCCGTGGTGGCACGAACCAATGTCAGAGGACGCTTCCTGGACCAGTCACGTGACAGGCTGCTGATGGGGGTTGCGGGGATTTATTTTATTTATTTATTTTAGGATTTATTGCTGCCGTGGTATGCTTTAGAATTATTAAATTTAAAATGAGGATAGTTTTGGGTCTGGGTCTGGGGGACTTTAAGGGGTTTTAGTCATTTTAGTGGTAGAAACTGCAGTAAAAGACCCTCATTAACGAGAATGGATTACCAAGGAGGGTCTCAGCTCATCATCAGAGGACCTGTTACATATCAAAAGTATGTAATTGATCATAAATATAAGTCTATATACATAATAATGCTGTGGATTTCGTTTCACTATACAGTATATGACAGAGCCCTTACAGCATATAGATCATTAACTTGCATCAGCTAATGAGTTGTGTAAACCAGGTTGTTCTCTTCCTGGGAAAGAAAATAATAAATAATAATGTATAAGTATAATAATAACAATAATAATAATAATAATAATAATAATAAACTGTTACACCAACTTTTTGACTTATTTCTGGTTCTCAATTAATTTAGATCACGATATGTTTGCAGAGGCTGGTCCTTTAACACATGACTGATCATTGAATTTGGTGTTATATACATTTATTAGATTGATAATTGATTGATATTAGTTAGACTGGACATTGCATGAATTTAAAGTAATGGACTGAAGTAGCTGAATGGCTCTCCTTGCATTTTTATCCATATTTCTCTGCAAAGTCTTTGCATTTTCCTGAATAAAAGAAACATTTATTTTAATTACATTTTAATTAATTTAGCTCTCCTGTTTTAAATTGTAAGGGTAAATGTGTATTAAACATCTCTGCAATAAAGCACACTACTTAACATAATAACAGAATAGATAGCCTTTAGCACATTTAAATGAGTTTTATCATGCTCATGAATTATTATATTGGCTGTAGTTTGAGTACCTGGCTGTTGCCTGTCACTTGGGGGCAGCTGTAGACTGCAGTGTATTGCTCAAACAAGAGGGACCTCTGTTGGTCTCCGTGTGGTAAAGCAGCTTTCTATTGAATCCTATACTTTTCACAGTCTCATCATATTGTCATCAATCAAACGGCATCAGCTCTAGGTGCTCCACCTCTAACTGAAAAATAACAGCTGGCCTCCACAATCAGGACGAGAGGCCACGGACATCTGAACAATTTTAAAAACAGGAATAAAAAAATCTAAATAACACAAACTGCTGACTTCAAGTGGATAAACATCAGCTCTGTTTGCTCTGCATTGTTCAGCTGTCTTGTGTCATTACCCTCTGAATCCAGGCCTACCTCAAACAAAGCAGGTGCCCCTTTTGGCCAAATAATGATCTGATTGTTGTTGACCACACTGCCGGTCGCCCTCTCTGGTCCTCCCCTCTTTTCTCTCCTGAACAGTTGTGGTCGTTACAGCACAGACCTCGACTCAGCAGCTCTGTGGTCCCA